GTGTGTAGAGAGGGATCTCTTAAATGACTTTAGGCTTAGGGAAGATTTTAAATTGTGCGGGAGGTCGTTCCACAATTGCGGCGCTCTGTAGGAGAAGGAGGATCGGGCCGCTTTCTTTTTGTATTGAGGTAGACTAAGTAAAGTGCTTGTACTGGATAGGAGGTTATAGGAAGTGGGAACCGCTGGGGAAAGCATTTTGTTCAGGTAGGGTGTGAGTTTCCCAGAAAAGCTCTTAAAAACAAGGCTGGAAAGATGAAGGGTGCGTCTGGATTCCAGCGACAGCCAGTTTAGTTCCTTTAGCATGTCACAATGATGGGTCCTGTAATTACATTGTAGCACAAATCTGCAGAACGAGTTATACAATGTGTTGAGTTTATTAATGTGGGATCGCGATGCAGACGCATATACTACATCCCCATAATCAATGATTGGCATCAGCATTTGCTGTACAATCTTTTCCTTTACTGTAGGGCTTAGGCAGGCTTTGTTTCTGTACAGGGCACCTAATTTTGGATAAAGTTTAGATGCAAGACTTATACCTTGTCACTATACATCAATCAAGAAGCATGTACTTAGTTAATATTTCATTTTTTCTATATATTTCATACATATACATGGCTATTATGGATTCATATCTTTATTTGTATGCTGGTATAATGAGTTTTTTTTATGTAAGGTTACTAATTGCTTTTTAATATTTTTGTTTTAACATGATTGTTTAAAACCTAATGATCAACTGAGGACTCTCTACGATATTCTTTTGCGTTCCAGACACATACCATCTACGTCACCATCCCCCGCGGACCAATACCCATGATTTCCTGATTGGTGGAACGCATGTGTGTTCCAAAGACAACTACCAGAACTCCATATATGGATAGAGCGGAATGATGGATCCGAAAAAAATGGGAAGAGACAGGCGTCTTGGCCGTGAGCAACCTGATACATGAAAGAGGGACTTTTAAATGAGGCTTCGCTCTCAATAGACGGCAGCATTTTATCTTTTGTACTATTTAGCACTATTTTTACTCCTGATGAAATCTAAAGTTATTAGACAAAACCCGTAGAGTGAGTTTTTAATTGTTATTATTTTGTATTGTTTTGTATGCTGTTATTTTTGCCTTCAACACCTGTGAGGACCCCTATACTCCACACTACAGAGATTAATGCCGGGGAATACAGAGTTGTATTGATGGGCCTTTTATGTTCATGTATGCTGTTAGTGTAACCATTAAAGCGTGTGATTTAATTTTATACCAGCGTTGCACTGTTTCTTTATATATCTTTACATGCATTATTGGACATCTGAACACTGCTGGATCTGTGGGATTCTATATATTATTGACGAGTCTGAATTTTCTGCTACTCTGTGAGTGCAACCTTGAAAACTGGATTTATCAAAATTAACATTATTACCCTATTAGCTTTTATTTCTCTGTTCATGTTCTTAGGTATATCCTGTTTCTCCCTTCCATCCTAGCCATTTCTGGCTCACGGCTATGTGAATATTCTGATAGCCCCAGACCTATCAAAGTAGATTATTATACATTAATCTGAAAAAAAACTACACCAAAAACACATTTACCCCATAAGGGGTGAGACCTTAATGCTTGTTTATAATGAGTGATTAAAATCAGTACATTTAATTTAGAAAGTCGCAGCATTTATAAAAAAAATAAAACGTGCACACACAAGGAAACATGGCCTTATGTTTATAAAATCTGCGCCATCTGGATTGAGAACTTCCACATCTTTTAGTGAAAGCTGACTGTATTCGCTCCAAGGACAATCTCTCTCCAAGAGTTCTCTCTTTCTGACAAACGGTTCTTTCAGTAACTTATCCAGGGCCTCTGTACTTGCTGCCTAGCTTAACCTTATAGCCACTGGAGACACACATGGCTGCCGCACATTAAGTACTGCATATAATTCTCCATAAAGGTAAAAATGAAATGGTTCAAGGCAAAGTGCTTAATGCAGAGAGATATATGGATTTTCCATAGCCATTGTGTGTGCATTGCAGCATCTCTAGATTTAATAATTTTGGATTGAAGATGCTTGGCCCCTAGTACTGTACGTCACTGCATTTCTGATTAATGGCTGAAGATACAGTATTCTCTCACCAAATATAACGCCTATTCTTTTAAATGTAGCCAGCTCCCTACGTACTTCTCGAGTGTCCCTATTTAGGAGTGACGGTTCCTAATTTGAGGTTAAGTTCTGCCGTCCATTTTTTCGGCCTATTGTGCCTTTTTTCTAGCAGCTTCATATACAAATCCCTCTGTCTCTCTTTTCTGTCCAAAGGTTCCGCTGTATTAGCTTCATATTGCTGCTATGTCAGAGTGTATAACAGATGAGCAATAATGCGCCCAGTAATGTGTCTGTAAACTACAATTATTGTGTCTAGAAATCAGCCTGTGTAAACTAGAACTATTATTTTTGTTCTGAATAACATTTTAATTGCAGAAATTGCCCTGGGGCGAGGGGCCCCTCAATGTGCCACATTCTCTGTCCCCCCCGATCCCCTCCATGTGCCTCATTCAGCCCCCAAACCCCTCCATGTATCTCATCACCCCCAAGTGTCTCATTTACTTAACCCCTCCATGTTTCTCTCCCCCCCCCACCCCACAGCCCCTCCTGCAGCACAGCACATCGCTCCCCTTCTGCCGGTCAGCTGACGACTGCGGACCTTGGGCAGGTGCAGCGCACGGGCCCAGTAGCCACTGTGACTGTGGTACTTACGCCACTGGTTCCAATCAGTGGCGTACACATGACCC